TGTGTGTGTGTGGTATTATTAAAAATGCTATTAACATAAAGTTTCAGATAAATTCACCTTTGATAGAACATATATGATCTTGAGCTGTTTACTCAAAGATTCAGAATAAAAGTTTATTTTGTTAGAATGATTTAATTGTTTATGCCTCGGGTTGTCAAGACCAATTTAAAAAGTAATATATATATGTAGTAATGTAGTGTTGTTATCCTGTAGGATGAATGTAGTGTGGCATGTTGATTACAGTCGTGGTGGCCACAATGTTTAGAGTGGGTTCAGCCGTGGAATTGGGATTACACAAAAGGACGAGGCATGTTGGATGTCACCACAGAGATGGCGAGAGAGTAAGTGAAGCGACACCGGTCAGGGGAGATCTGTAGAGAGGGGTCTGTCAATCATCGTGTCTCCAAGCGGACTAATCTGTTTGAGTAAGAAAGGGGCACACCTGGGAACCCGACTTGTTTTTCGGACCTTTTTCTTCTACAGGCGCCGACTGTCACTCACTCGAAATTTTATTTCTGTCACATTGGCAATTACACTAAAACTATATAACACATGGGGATATAGGATATATAGGTATATATTGTAATATATCCCAACATACATTATATTATACATGTCATATTATATTTGTTTTGCATATACAATGTTGTAAACATAGGAATGGTGTACATAGAAACACCAGGAAACACCAAGCTTGATGTAACTTAAAAATGACACCAAATAAAATCTACCACCGGGAAAGAACGGCGTGGCAGCCAGTAAGATCGAATAACAGGTCCTTGGTGTTATCCAAGAAGTTAAGAGAACATAAAAATCTACCAGGCCAGTTCTTAATTGGACACAGACGACCAAAAAGGTCCGCCCGCTCTGACGTCCCATTAGCATATAAGCTGGGTTTCTTCTGAGCTCACTGGAAGGAGCGCAGTGTAGACAGCAGTTAGGTCGCCATGCTCTTCCAGATTAATCAGAGAGTTTGGTGGAGAATCGCCAGTGGGTCTCCAGCGACACCACGCATTTCGCGATCTACGAAGAATACGTAGATCGCGTACTTCGCCGCTGAGGAGATGGTGATGGCGTGGTCCTCGAGACCAACTGGAAAGATCCAGGACTGCAGGTCTGACGGCCGGCCGATGATGGAGAACGCCTCTCGGATGACAGGGCGAACGGCGCTGCAGGACCAGTAGCGGTGGGCCAGCGACAGGTCGAAGGAGCCGCAGGCGATGCAGATGCGATTGCAATTAATCAGCGAGTCCCAGGACTTCCACAAAGTCCACATTCCGGGTGCTGACCCCTCTTAACCGAGTTAGCCATGTGTGTGGTCTTCATTTATCTTCAGGCTAGTGCGCTCTGGCCCATGACTGCATGTTGGGTGAGGAACTCGCTGCGACGATGTGTCGGCTCTACACATTACAACATATATTTATTTATAAATGGAAAAATTGCCGGGTGGAAATTGATCCATAGAAGCATAGGGCGCCTCTCACGTCAAAATAAACGTCAAAACCTGACGCCATCTATTGACCGTCACTGCAAACTAGGGGCCTCGGGTCGGTGACAAAGCCACAACACCAGCTTTGGCAAACTGAGAAGCGTCCACCTAGAGACCATGGTTTCGGGCTAATTCCACAAGGGTGGAATCTCAAAAATGATATTTAATCAAACAATGGACATAAGCTTTTAGGACAGTAGAATTCCATTTAAATATAAGATTCCACCCTTCAGTGTGGCATATAAAATCAGAATGATCCAATACAGTATTAGAGCTCTAAAGAAGCGGTCTGGTAGATTAAATTGGCGAAACTGCTATGAGGGTTCACCACTAATGAGCCAAGCCCTCACAATATTTTTTTTCATTGCATTAAGGACAGTAGAAGTTTGATTTGTTTGTGAAAAGAAACATTCGCGTCTTAATGTCTTCATTCATTATATATAGATGGCGAGTTATTGATTTGTATTAATAAATACAATAAATATGACGCCTCTGCCACCGCTTCAGAGTTTGGTGGAGAACCACCAGCGGGTCTCCAGCGTTTAATTTATATAAAGGAACATTTATTGATGAAATTGACAAAAGTTACTTTTACGGGTTATCACACAAATAGTATTAAACTAGGGCCTACAGTAAGAGTAACTTAAACACAGAAAAATGTACACTCAAGAATGCAACACCAACAACAAAAAGGAGATAAAAAAACACGATTTGTTAAATAAAATAAAAACAGTACTTATCTTTTATTTGCAGCGTTGATAAGGAGCGGATCGGGGTTTCACAGGTATGCGAGGAGATCATCAAGCACACAGAGAACGCTTTAAACGTCTCAACTCGAACACCACTCCACGACTCCCCGCATTCCGTTTCAACCCTCTTTTATATACAAACATGGCCACATTCGTCCAATGACGTGGGAGAACAGTTCACTTAACAAATAAACAATATTCTTTCCGCATAACTGAGAAGATTAAAACTGCTATGTTTGTCAAATAATTTGACAAAATAACTTGTGTTACACAGCTAAAAGCTATACGCAATAATAATTATAATTATTCTGGATCTAATGCAATAGAAACAATGATTGAACATCTAAGTTATAGAAAAATCTGTTCTAAATGGGTTCCAAGGAAACTAACCCTTGATTAGCGTCATCAAAGAGTTCAACTATATCAAAAGCTACTGGATCTCTATGAGGTCCAAAAGGACAATTTTTTCAAATATGGTGACTGGAGATGAAACATGGGCAAACCTCTATGACCCCGAAACCAAGGCATAGTCATAAGAATGGCATCATCCCAGTTCACCTTAGGAAAAATTCTTAAAGTGTAGATGTGTCATCCAAAAAGGTGATGGAACTGTCTTTTGGGACATGCGAGGTGTAATACTGATTGATTTCATATAAGAAGGTAGCACTGTGTTCTCGCTATCTTCTAACTTCACAAAACGATGACTCTATGAAGACTTTATGAAAGACTGCACAAGGAATGTATACATATTAACTTTTCCCAAATCTCACTTCAGTGTCCTGAAAATTTATTTTCTTGTAGAGTTGACAAAACTTATTATTACGGGATAACACACAAAGTTCCAATAAACTAGGGCCTACCGTAATAGTAACTAACACATAGAAAAGCGTGCACTAAAGAGTACAACAACAACAATAAAAAAAGAAGCAAAAAACCTCACGATTTGCTATATAAAAACAAAACAGTACTTATCTTTTATTGTAGCGTTGGTAGGGATCGGACCGGGGTCACACAGGTATGCGAGGAGATCACCAGACACGGATAAAGCACGCAGAGAACATTTTAAGCGTCTCCACACGATAAAACCATTCAAGCTAGGATGCATATGTTTATAAAAGTGGGCGCCAAGATGCTGACTGTCATGTTGAAATCCTCTCCAACTTGGATAAGAAGAAACAAACAATGACGATGTTATACGATAATACTGATAATTATCAGTAGATAGGTAGATATAACAATGAACTACACTACATTTGTAGGTGTGTAATGGCTTATTTCCACAGTTGTATGATATTTTATCTGTTACAGTAATTATATAATGGTCACGTCATAAAGGCAATTCGGAATTAAATTCTTTGAAAACCGCATTATTTATACAATAGCCTTCCAACAGAGAGCATAGTAAAAATATTGGTGGTGACAATCAACAAGTCAACTGTTGAAGAACAAGGTGTTAAAAGTGTCTGCAGACAGCAAAGTAAACTAGGTTTGAATGGGTCGTTTATGGATAAACTGCCCGTTCACTCGGTATTTTCAGTTCTTGGCTGTAAAATGGTAGATATCAGCAGATACATGAATTAGTAATGGAGTCAATTTAATTCAGGATGGAAGATCAATTTCTTTAAAGTGTGTGCCTTCTTCTTCTTTCTTATCTCCACTCAATCTTTGGTATTGATCAAGGGTATCAAGTTGTGACCCCTGATGTTGTCTGTTTGACAACCATCATGACTGGGTGAAGTAGAATGTGTCTGCCTTTGTCATTAAGACTGAGAGCACTACTCAGTGGCAGGCCGACTTATCTCCAAAAGAAATGGCCGCCTCTGACATGAGGAACAGACGCCATGTGCAGCCGCTCCTAACATGGAGTACAAACGCTGCTCATCCTGTATCCCTGGATTAGGAGTCCTTACAGGGTACTATCAGCCGGGCCAGCTGAGCCCAGGTTTTTTAGCGAGCTTGTTACTGCTCCCCCTCCTTCTTTTTCATCCGGGTTTGGGACCGGCAAAGGCGGAGTGAGTGTGATATTATTAGATTAGGGTTATTTACTGATAATATTTTATCACAAGAGTCAAACACTTTCGTTATACGAATTGTGTATAAAAATATAAGCCTGACTACAACTGTACGTTTTAGGAATCTGGTTTGATCAAAATAATTTCCAAGAGTACAGAATAAACAATGGACTAAATGTATCAAACCCGTTTGATCTAATTTCAACAAAATATAAAATTCAACTCTCATTTTGCAGATTTATTTTGAATTTTATAAAACTACTAAATTCCTTTTGAACGCTTTTATTTAGAAATTAACTCTGTTTAGCATAGTTTTAATTGGATAATTCTCTAATATCGTGCATATTTTCCTTCTAAAATATTCCTTAAAACTTTCTTCAATCTGTAAATTGTTTCCTTGAATACACACAATACTTTACAATTTGTCTTCATTTAACTAAATTTGTATACCAACCCTTTGTATTTATTTCTATTGTGTTGATATTTCTTCTCTTTTCATCTAACTTAACTTGCATAATTATTCTTGTACATACTTCATCTCTAAAGTTAGAAATAATCGTTATTTCTCCTTGAAAATAAATTTCGATTTTTCGTTCAAAAGAAATATTTGCGGTAAAATTGTCAAACATCGTTCTACAATCATAAGCCGCATTACATTGTATTATAAACATTGAAAAAAAAACGAAAGAAAGATATTTGAAAGTATGAAAGGATGAATTGTGAAGAGTAATGATAAACGGAAAAATAAAGTGTCCAGTTATGGGAATCGAACCCACAGTGTTCCGTTTACCGGGCAGATGCCATGTCCACTAGGCTACCCTGGACATACTTCATCCCTAAGGTTAGAAATAATCGTTATTTATCCTTTAAAATAAATTTCGATTTTGCGTTCAAAAGAAACATTTGCGGTATAATTTTCAAATTTCAATGTTTAGTTTACCTTTTAAGTGCAAGTGTCCCTAGGAAGACATAGCGCTTTAAGTCGAAATAAAATAATGTTACGTCGTACCCAGACGCTATTCGTGTACTTTGTCTACTCAGGATGCCACAAATATACACATGTGAGTTCGAAGGGATTACAGCTAAAGTTAGCGCTTTATTGTATCTCAATTAACAGAAGGAATACAACAGTGGGACTTGTCTTCAACCTCCCCGTCAGAAGAATTCTTAGAGCGCCGTGGATGTCCTCTTGTGAAGCGTTCCGCTCCACACAATACACATCCAGCTTGGACTACACCGTCTTGTAGACCGCTCCGATGTCAGTCTCTCCTGGCACCGCCTTGTAGGATTATCCACACGCCCGTAGGCAAGTCGCCACGTCTTCTCCTTGCCATAGATGTCACCAGACTCACTCCTCCACCACACAGGAATGCTGTTTTTAGCGCCTGCCACATGGCAGCGGGGATAGCTGAAGTCCACCCCTCTTTCTTCAACTTTACTCTGGTATATTGGCCTTGTCATCTATGTAACAATAATTTAAATTGAAATAAAAGAGAATGATAAGAATTCCAATATTACTCAGGATGACCTGGCTCTGAAACATACAACCCTGATTTGTCCACAGAGTGGCCAATGAACACATCCTGCTATCCTGCTTGAATCCCAGGCCTTTCAAATTGATTGATGGTACCAAGCTACCACAATTGGTTGCCTTGCTTTTCTTTTATCGAGAAAACTCTCACAAAATATATGTGTCCAATTAACAAGTCTAGAAAGTGACTTAAGTGCTTGGTTTTAAAAAACATTAATTAGTGAATCGTAAAGATAGAGGCTGCCTGGCCGGCGTTCATATTTATTGAAAGTAAAGATACTTCGGCCAGTAAATCTTTTCATTACCTCGACGTTTCGACAAAAAGCTTTTGTCCTCGTCAGGAGAAAACAAAAATTAAAACATTTGGCAAGGCGTTAAAAAAAAGGTAGAATAATTTTTAACGCCTTGCCAAATGTTTTAATTTTTGTTTGCTCCTGACGAGGACAAAAGCTTTTTGTCGAAATGTCGAGGTAATAAAAATATTCACTGGCCGAAGTATCTCTATTTTCAAGAAAAATTAATTAGTGAAATCAAGACCTTATTGACTACATCATATGTTTAGAAATATGTTTTCTTTTTTCTCTCTTTCTCTTGATTTTCTTCTCATTGTTCAATCTGTTTGACTCACTTGTGGGATGTTTATACCTCTACAAGACAAAATATTGGATTCACAAAGAGTTTAACAAATACATTAAATAACACCGGTTTCTCATGGCTTATTGGATGCTTGGATCACAATATATTGCAAAGTTATATTCCTTTGATTATTAGGACAATGTCAGATCAATCGATACAAGAAAACCAATCAAGAATAAGAAATTCAAAACTTTATCCTCATTATAAAAATTACCATACGTCAATAGAAATAGAATGCTACCTAACCGATGATTTCCCTTTACCAGTCAAACGATGTATAGCTCAATCGAGAATACTATTTACAGTATTAAAAAAAAAAAAAACGTTCTGACGTTTGAGGCCAAAAACTTAATGTGTACACTGTGTGACAAGGAAATTACTAAAGAACTCCCCCATTACCTGCTTAAATGTACAGCCCTTGATGCAGAGAGGAAGGCCCTATATCAACAAATTAAATGAACCAACATTTCACCCTATATATTACTTTCAGAAATATCAGCAAACAAATCTAATGCAATAGCTTATAATAAATATTTTAGATCATCATTCTGTAAGGACCAGTCAACAAGTGAATGACTTTGAGACGAAGAGTAAAGCCAGTTCAATTTCTATGTAAATAACACAAGATGGTTATTACCTTACCCAATTGGAAGAATCTGTATGGGGCAAGTCCCTAATAAAGGCTTTTGTGTGTGTGTGAATTCCTTTCATGCTATCACTATTACACTCTACAAACAATGGTTAACCCTTTTTCGATATCATTGTTTGGGTAAACAATCATTACGACGCAAACCAGATCATTCCTCTAAGATTTGATAGTTTTGAATGTGGTAGTGGTGTCTTGTCCATTGAGCAAATCAGATCGGTCTAGGTACCCTGATCACAATACCGGCCAACTGAGGTATCTTGTCCGTATGGATGTCCTCTTCTGGATTGATGTCTGTCATATGGTTGCAAGGATGGCCGGGTATATATGGTCCGGACTGAGTTTTGAATAAAATTTATTCGTAAAAACATAGATCGAAAGTGAAACTGTGTACTGAGATTAATGGATAAATTGATAAAAAGAAACTCCTTTTATAACCCAATTGGGAGAATCTGTATAGGGCAAGTCCTTAATAAAGGCTTTTGTGTGTGTGGGGGATTTTCTTCTCATTGAGCGCCAGTGTTCGTAGCGGGACATCGCGCATTGTTTTTATAGTTGAATAAAGTTGACCACACAAGTAAGCTAGTGTTCTACTGTGGGGTTGGATACCTACCCACACAGCCACAGGTTACTGAGTTTTGTGAATCACAAACACAATTTTAGAATTATTGATATTTATTTCAAGAAGTGGATTTATAAGCCCGGTAGGCGTAACACTGTGGGTTCGATTCCCATCCCTGGACACTTTATTTTTCCGTTTATCATTACTCTTCATAATTCATCCTATCATACTTCATCCCTAAGGTAAGAAATAATCGTTATTTCTCCTTAAAATAAATTTCGATTTTTTTCGTTCAAAAGAAACATTTGCGGTATAATTTTCAAACTTCGTTTTACAATCATAAGCCGCATTATATTGTATTATCAATTTATTGTTTCGAGAATATGTATTTTTTTTATAAATGTATAATGATTCAAAGAAGGGTATTTTTCTTTATCGATCTTATATAAATACATTTTTAAATTGATTTATGGATTAGGTAAGTTATCGCTCTTTCTTTATTATTTTATTGATCCATGATCATTCCTTTATCAATTTATTGATCCAAGGGTCGCTCCTTCTTTATCAATTATTGGTCCAAGGATCGCTCCTTTTTTAGCAATGTATTGATCCAAGGATTGTTCCTTCTTTATCAATTTATTGGTCCAAGGATCGCTCTTTCTTTATCAATTTATTGGTCCAAGGATCGCTCTTTCTTTATCAATTTATTGGTCCAAGGATCACTCTTTCTTTATCAATTTATTGGTCCAAGGATCGCTCTTTCTTTATCAATTTATTGGTCCAAAGATCGCTCCTTCTTTATCAATTTATTGATGCAAGGATTGTTCCTTCTTTATCAATTTATTGGTCCAAGGATCGCTCCTTCTTTATCAATTTATTGGTCCAAGGATCGCTCTTTCTTTATCAATTTATTGGTCCAAAGATCGCTCCTTCTTTATCAATTTATTGGTCCAAAGATCGCTCCTTCTTTATCAATTTATTGATGCAAGGATTGTTCCTTCTTTATCAATTTATTGGTCCAAGAATCGCTCCTTCTTTATAAATTTATTGGTCCAAAGATCGCTCCTTCTTTATCAATTTATTGGTTCAAGGATTGTTCCTTCTTTATCAACTTATTGGTAAAGGATTATTCCTTCTTTATCAATTTATTGGTCCAAGGATCGCTCCTTCTTTGTCAATTTATTGGTCCAAGGATCGCTCCTTCTTTATCAATTTATTGGTCCAAGGATCGCTCCTTCTTTATCAATTTATTGGTCCAAAGATCACTCCTTCTTTATCAATTTATTGGTCCAAGGATCGCTCCTTCTTTATCAATTTATTGATCCAAGAATCGCTCCTTCTTTATCAATTTAATGGTCCAAGGATCGCTCCTTCTTTACCAATTTATTGGTCCAAGAATCGCTCCTTCTTTTTCAATTTATTGATGCAAGGATATCTCCTTCTTTATCAATGATCACATCTTCTCTACCAATTTATTGATCCAAGGATCGCTCTTTCTTTATCAATTATCAATAAAATATCGATAATTCCAACGAAAATGTTTGAAAAGGCCCTCGTCGAATATGTCTAAATCTACACGTTCACCTTAAAAATGATAAAATTTAGTGTTATGTAGAACACGTGGATTAGGTGGTTGGTAGTTTTCCAAGCGGCGGGGTGTAACGCGATCTAGCGGGTGACCCAGTTCTCCCATGGTATGTGCGACATGTTCTCGCAGTACCAACAACAGCCCTCTTTTGCATCGGTGATTAATTACCTTGAAGTGATGAGGCCCTCCAGAACAGGCTCTAATCACCGTGGAGTCAGCTTTCATCATTACATAAATGTCGGGGCTATCAAAGGGCGGTATTCACTCTGGAATGTTTGTCGTTTGTGTGAGGTAGTTACACGGTGATTAACTAACTATTAGGGATATTAAAAGATCTACAAGTAGTTTGAGGTGTGGCCCAGTTTAGCTCGCTGGTGGTATTTCTATAATGTCATCAGAGGAAAGGCCTCAGTCCCAGGGTGAGATTTCTTGCAGCATCCCACCATTGCATCCGCTCCTCTAAATTTCCCTTATAAATTTCCCTCCAGTTCAAAATAAATTTATTGGATACCGATCAAAAAGAGAAACCCAGTTTATCATTTTTTATAATACAATTATATGCAATTATATACAATTATAAAATACTTTATTTGATATTTACGAACGGAAAAATATGTCCAGGGTAGCCTATTGGACATGTCATCTGCCCGGTAAGCGGAACACTGTGGGTTCGATTCCCATCCCTGGACACTTTTATTTTTCCGTTCATCATTACTCTTCACAATTCATCCTTTCATACTTCATACCTAAGGTTAGGAATAATCATTATTTCTCCTTAAAATAAATTTCGATTTTTCGTTTAAAAGAAACACATGCGGGTTAATTTTCAAATGTCGTTCTCCAGTTAATCATATTCACTAAA